CACCTACACGATCCTACCACTCATCCATTCTCAAAATAAAATATTTTTTATAATTATTATGCTAAGTCAAACTATATAAATCCAGTCAAATGTAAGATAATTTTACTTAAGATATATTGATTTATTTTTAGAATAGATGGATGCATATGCGGTGGCTCACCATCCATTTACATATCTCGGGATCCTCGTACATCATAAGAATATTAGCACATGAAAAAGGGGAACACTTATTCTATAGAATTAGGTTAGTCTTATATTTAATAATAAAGCAGTCCAACACAGTGTTTATGCTTATTCTTTGAGATAGCAATGGATGCATATAAAACATAGATTATTGTAGATCCGGGTTTTCTTTGGGGTAATGATTCTAAGAAAAAAAAATATATAGACTGCTGTAATGGAATATCCTTTACGTACAGACCTTTTTTTTTTTAATTCAGACCTAAGAAATATACATGGGTTGTCTAAGAATTCAGATCTAGACACCCAAAATAAATAACTCCTTAGCAAATGTTTTTTTGCTTGCTTAATGAGGAATGATTGTGGCAACGATTATCATTAAACAAATACATGGGCACTTACACACACTACCATAAGTGAAAAAGAAACAAGGAGATCCACAGTTCTGTATAGGTTTATGAAGGCTAAAGATCGAATCCTTTTCAAGCTTGGGTTATTTCACAGTTATTAATAATGGAAATTCAAATCAGATCCTTAGGAAGATAAATAGTTGGGAAACACTCCTTTTAGTGAATGTTATCATGTTCTACATGACATAGCCCGTATGAAACACAATACAATAGCTAACATGTTGAATATGCGTACCTCCTTACATTGTTTCTTTATGTAAAGCATTGGTGCAAAATAAGTTAATCGTTTGGCATGATCATATTTATAAAATATAGGCTAAATGAGGAACCTGATCTTTTTTAAGTATAATTTAATTTAAAAAAGGTCTCTTTCTCGGTGTGGAACCCATGAGGAGTTTGATGTCGACAATGATCTAACTCAACACACTCGATACTTATGGAAATTAGAAACGTCTATGAAGATTAAGATTTTGGTTGATATTTTGTATTTGCACAAAGGAATGATTCTAACTAAATCAAGATAACCTAATTAAACGAAGTTAGTAGGGTAGTAAAAAGTATTGTTTTAATGATGATATTAATGATGACAAACAATTCAACATCTCTTTTTTTGAAGTGCTATTATGCCATGTTTCATTGGACAATTGTTAATACTACCTTTGGTTTGTATCGTTTAAATAATGTTTTACATGTATTTAGTTCTTGGCTACGTGGAGTACACAAAAAAACTAAACAACAGACCTTGGTTGGGCTGCAAGCCTGCAACTATATATGTTGGTATATATGGCACTATTTGAAACGATATTATGGTTATATTTGGTTGAACTTCTAAAAAGTGCTTCGACTGCTAAAAAAACAGAGCCAGCCAATAGCAATAGGTGAAAGCAGAAGCTGTGTTTTTAGAAGCAACTACTTTGTGTAGTATAGTTTTGGAAACACCTTAGAGTTTGCTTTGTAACTTTTGTTTTTCTACTTTTCGAAATGGGTGGAAACAGAGAGTTGTTTCACAGCTGTTTTAAGGGAGATGGAGAGAGAGGTGTAGGTTTTATATTTGTTTCAACTAAACAACTCATAACTTTTTCACAACACATAGCTCAAAACAGTTTTTTGATAGCTTACGACTCAACCAAATAGATCCTGGCCCCTATGGTTTTTGGCAAAACTAGTAAGAAATTCTAAAGCATTATTGTTTACAACTTGAAAAATCCTAAATTGCAACGTTGAAGACCCCGATGAAGTTTTCTGCTGGCTTCGCCTTCTGATGCAGCGTGCCGCACGTTAGAGACCACGACACTTTGCGAGAATGCAAGTCACGGTCGGGGCTCAGCGAATCAGCGATAGAAGAGGCTAAGATCAATGGCTAGGCTGTCATGAAACACTAGTAGTCCTATAATACTCCTTAGTATTGGCCACGTAGGAACTGTAATGTGTTTACTCCATTATGTTTTTTTAATAAACGTCTTCAATTCCTCGTGTTGTTGAAGGAGTGAAAAAAGAACAAGCTCAATGCGATCCACATGGGAAATTTTCTTGAAGCTGATCCAAACCACCTGGGATGCTGACCAGACCAACTGTATGCATGGCGTTTTTTTCTGCCACCAAGGGCCAGTGACCCGGGAGAAGACTCACTCGGTCACCAGGGAGGAGGGCGATGGGCAAACACACGAATAATAACGCTTGGCCATGCTCCTGACAGTGAGAGAGGCCAGAACCGCCAGACCAACAAGTTCCAAAGGGCAGCGAGCGCCCGTAGTAGGCAGGCAAGAGGTCGGATGAAAAAGTTTTTTTAAGAAAAAAAGCAAAAGGAAAGGGAAAAGAAGGCAGGGACAGGCATGTTTAGCGCGTGTTTAGTTGGCTGAATTTTGGAATTTGGGCTACTGTAGCACTTTCGTTTTTATTTGGCAATTAGTGTTCAATCATTGACTAATTAGGCTCAAAACGTTCGTCTCGCAATTTCCAACCAAACTGTGCAATTCGTTTTTTTTTTGTCTACATTTAATACTCCATACATATACCGCAAGATTCGTTGTGATGAATACTGTAGCATTTTGTGAGAAAAAAATTTGGAACTAAACAGGCCTTATCGGAATCGGAACACGAAGGCGCCGATGCTGGCAGGGCAGCAGAAAGACACCAACGCCTCAATCCCGATCCTATCCCGTCCTTGCACTGCGCTGCGCTCCTGGGCCTCCCTAGTCCCTCCCTTTTTGTCGATTTTTCTAATCACCATGATTGCTCTGGAGAATTTGGTTTTCATAGGCGCTTCTAAAATTTCTATCTTCAAACACATATATAGAGTATTAAATATAGACTAATTACGAAACTAATTACATAACTTGCGACTAATTTGCTAGATGAATTTTTTAAGCCTAATTAGTCTATGATTTGACAACGTTGTGCTACCGTAAACATGTGCTAATGACAAATTAATTAGTCTTAAAAAATCATCTCACAAATTAGCCTCCATCTATGTAATTGGTTTTATAATTAATCTATATTTAATACTCTTTATTAGTATCTAAGTATTCGATGTGATATAAATTTTATAAAACGACTAGACCATCTGGAGATAACGGGCAGTGGCTGACAGAAAGAAAAGAAAGAAACGTGACGGAAAGGAGGGCCCAAGTTGGGGGAGCAGCAGCTGGTTCGCGACGAGCTGGGGCCTGCCGGACGGCGCACTACCCGTCGTCCGCTTTTTTGCCTATCCGCTTTATAATCTGCGCCGATCCCGCGTCAGGAAACGAGGAAAACACGGTGCCCTGCCCTCCCGCGCTCTCGCTCGTACATGTACGGCGTGCAGGACGTGCACTGCATCGGCGAGGGCCCGGGGCCGAGCCAGTGCGCGGCGGCGGTGTTGCTTTCGGATCACGCCCACTTGCCCCGTTTCACCGGTCACTCGGGCGGTGGTCGTTTTAGGCCGCGGCGAGCACGTGTGGGCGCACCATTCGCGCCGCGCCGTGAGCCACCCTTTGCCGGCCGGTTCCCGTGATACCGATACGTTGCTGCTCCAATGGAGCTCCCAGGACGTGTCTGAGTGTGCCTGCGTGGTATCCACCATGTCCAGGATCAGGTAAAATACTAGTCGGTCTGTGGCTGGGAGAGAACAGAGAAGAGAGTGAGGCGGCGGCATGGGCATCGTACATCGAATCTAGACCAGTTTTGGGTCCTCGTCCAGTCGTCCTGCCTTTAAACGCGGGAGAGAAGAGGACCGCCAGCAGCCATGGAGTGACCGAATGAGCAAGGGATAAGCATAAGCTAAGACCCGGTACAGAAAAGCCCTGACGGTGCTGACTGCTGACTGTGCCGTGCAAATATTGTACGTACTTGCACTTTGACATGTGTACCTGACGTGGCGGGGTACCCTACACATGGGCCAGGTCGGCGGCCTCGCGCTACGTACACGCAGCGCGGTCGCCGGTCGGAGGCTCGGGGAATACACCTTTTCCCTCCGATCCTCCACAATAATGCATGCATCTCCGGCATTATTAATGTTTTCTTTTTAGCGTTTGATCGTGGAATCACATTCTTCCAAGCTCATCGCATAGCTGCACTGCACTGCACGCTTTCCTTTGTTTTCTCCAAGCTTAACAAAGCCTGCGTAGATGCTGTACTTGGTCCATGCTCGTTTCCTAGGTCGTTTTCCTTTTCCACTGCAAGTTGCAGGCGGAAGGCTTGCTTGATCGTGGACTGTGCTTTCAAGCCAGCGTGATGGACTGTTCCTGGCTGAACATGAACTGCACCTCGCCACCTCGGACGAAAACTGTCCAGGCCTACAGAAGGGAGCGCACCGGAGGGATTAGCTCGATCACGCCTAATTTAGAAAAGGACTTGCGTCCAGTTGTAGCAGAAAGGTGTGTCCAGCAACAGAGACCGGAGAAATAAAGCGAGGAGGGAGCAATGAACCATGGCAAGGAATTTTCCAAGAAGAACAGTGCGAGAGTGACACTCCGGCCTGGTTTAGATTGCAAATTTTTGCAATCTGGACACTGTAGCACGTTTCGTTTATATTTGACAAACTTTGTCCGATCATGGACTAACTAGGCTCAAAAGATTCGTCTCGTGATTTACAACCAAACTGTGCAATTAATTACTTTTTTTACCTACATTTAATGCTCCATACATGCGTCCAAAAATTGATGTGATGGAGAGAGAGTGAAAAAACTTGGAACTTTGAGGCAATCTAAACAAGGCCTCCTCTTTTGTGGATCTGCTTGCTTTGCTTTGCTCGTGAATGAACTATCCCTGTTTGTAATGTGCTAATCGCCGTCTCCTGGCTGACACTATAAAAAAGCAGGCCCGGCGCCTAACCCTGGCCTCCTTCCCATCCACCACACTAACCTGACCTAAACTGGCCCCTCTGCTGCCTGTGCCCCACTGGCCACTAGTACTCGTCTACTCCCACCGAGCATGCGGCACCTGCAGGCCACCGTCGTCGAGCACCTGGCCGGTGTGGCCGCCGCCGCCACGGCCACGCCGCCGCCGGCGTCCGTCCACACGGACACGTTCCTCATCCTGGCCGCCGTGCTCTGCTTCCTACTCTGCGTCGTCGGGCTCGCCTTCGTCGCGCGGTGCTCGCGGCTGTGCAACCCCTCGTCCTACTCCGTGGACGCCGACGACGACGAGGCGGCCGCAATGCCGGCGGACATGGGGGCGCCACGGCCGCGCAAGGGGTTCGAGAAGGGCGCGCTGGAGAAGCTGCCGACCGTGCCGTTCGAGGCCGACGACGAGGCAGCCAAAGACGGGGATGAGCGGCCCGAGTGCGCCATCTGCCTCGCGGAGTTCGCGCGCGGGACGAGGTCGCGCGTGCTCCCGCCGTGCGGCCACGCATTCCACGCGGCCTGCGTCGACACCTGGCTCCTCTGCACCTCCACGTGCCCATCCTGCCGCACCGCCCTCGTCGTGGCGCAGCAGCAGGCGCCGCCGCCAGCGGCGGCATCCGCGGATCCCCCCCTGCAGTGCTGCGCTTCGGCGCAGGCCTCGGCGGGACCAGCGGAGTACCCCGTCACCCTCGCCGTCGTCGTCGTCGAGCGCGGACCTTGCCGGACGTCGGGACCGTAGCTTGGCGTGAGTCCATGGACGCCGACGACACCTTGTAAATACTCGCCGGGTTGTACAGTGTACAATGGTGCATTAGACAATCACTTCACTTGTACTGCTCCCATGTCTGATTGCTTGTGACATTCTAATCTGTGAATTTACCGGCAAGATATTTTGTCCTCTTCCCGCTTGCAAATCTCGACGTGCACGCAAAAAAAAATGTTTTCTGCTGCCTGCTGGTGGTTAACCGCAGATGTACAGTACTATAGAAAAAGCACTTGCGAAGAAAAGAGCATCAATTTGATGTTTGATGAGACGATGAGCGTGTCACTTTTTTTGTACTACCTACTGTGCTACGCTAGAGATGGAATCCAATCCATCGCGGGGCCGGGGTCGATCATGGCGGCGGCCGTGTCAACTGTCATTGGATGGATGGATCACATCGTGGCCGGCACGGTGCGGTGCCATGGTGGAATGGGATATTTGGCCTTATTTAAATGTTTTGTTAATGGAACAAGGAACTGGATAACTATACTTATCGGAGCCACAGGAACATGTACATACGAAATACGAGAATTTCCACTTGTTGAAGATCTGGTGGTGCTACCGAAGACTTAAATGAATAGCCATCGCTGTTAAGAACAACCGAGATCCAAACAGAAATTTGCACGTAGCTTTTTGTCTTTAACATAAAAAATTAAGGTTGTAATAACGAAACTGACATTTTCTTTTTCCTTGCCTCGCAAGTGGAACAAGAAAGACTATATAGTGATTTTGATTCTATAAACAATCAAAGGATTTCGTATTAGGGTGTAAAATTTTGAGATGTCATGTCAGGTGTTATATGGAAATGTCGTATGGGGTGTTTGGATACTCATAAAAAAACAAATTATAGAATCTGTCAGTAATCCGCGAGACGATTTTATTAAGCCTAATTAATCCGTCATTAGCACATGTGTTACTATTGCACCACATTGTCAAATCATAGACTAATTAGGCTTAAAAAATTTCTCTCACCAATTAGTCATAAACTATATAATTAATTATTTTTTAATATACTATTTAATACTCTATACATATGTCTAATATTCGATGGGACATGGAATACTAATCAAGGCCTCAGTAGCTGTACGATTCGCCGAGTTCATCAGTACGATTCGCCGAGTTCACCACATAAGGCCTTGTTTAGATTGGGCAAGTTTTTTCACTCTCTCTATTACATCAAATCTTTGAACATATATATGGAGTATTAAATATAGATAAAAAAATAACTAATTATACAGTTTGATTATAAATTACGAGACAAATCTTTTGAGCCTAGTTAGACCATAATTAAACAATAATTATCAAATACAAACGAAAGTGCTACAATACTGAATACTAATTTCTAACCGCGAACTAAACAAGGCCTAAATTAGATCGTGACGTCTGCGTACGCACGTACGGACATCAGTGTGATTACGCACGCGCCTCGATGCCAACAGGCAACAGCCCTAGGCCATCGAGGCAAGGCTACGTATTCACGACGTGGGCCGCCGCGTGGCCGGATTTGCATTTGCTCGGCATCGTAGTATTGTCGAACAGTTGGAGGAAGATCGGAAGTACGCGATGTATACACGTCGCGCGGAGAGGCGCACTGCAGCGGAATTATCAAAGAAACAAAAACTTTGGTGGAACACGCAATTGTGGGGCGTGTTCGGCTGGCTGCCGGCTGGCCAGCCACCTCACAGAATCATTATTCACGTTATGTTAGAATAGTATTTTTCTCTTACAATAATTAATCGAAATAGTATTTTTCAGTCCTGCCGAACAGGTCCGGTCCTTATTGCGACCGCACGCGTCATAGACATGCAGCAAAGGAATGTTTAAATGACGAGATGGACTATTACGTTGACTAAGCTAATTTAATGGTCGTTCTTCACCTGGAAAATCAAAAAAAAACATAGGATGTCGACAAATCTCGTTGAGACAAGTGCTGAATGGCAAAAGGTTCGAAAAAGATTGATAGAAGATACTGCTCCGTCCTATTATCAACGTTCGTATCTCTAAAAAGATACTGCTCCGTCCTATTATCAACGTTCGTATCTCTAAAAAGTTTATTAATGACATGACATCTATGTATATGATCATGTTTGACGTATGGTATGGAGGGTAGAAGGTCAGTAAGGATGTTTAAGTCAAGAAGGAGGTACGAGGCAAATTCGGTTCGAGTCCCCAAGGTGGAGACCCAAAGCAACTCAAGTTCAAGTTTGTCTCGGTCTCCAGGATCAGTCTGCTTTAAACTGGTCACCCGGGACGTATTCGGACTCCGTTTTCGACAATCCACATATGGATGAAAAACTAATTTGATAAGGAAGCCAATCCAAGTGGTCTCGCGTCAAAAGCTATTCGGAATCAACGGGAATCGTGGTCACAAGTCAGCGTTCAAAATCTGCTAGGGTGCTGCGACACCGTCTTTTGGTCCGTTGGACCATGTATCGTGTTTGGGCCCATTAGGGACGTGTCCAGGGGTCTTGCACGACCCTATAGTCTTCATAAACAGTCATCACCCCTCCATTAGGGTTTGACGGTTATGCTTAGATTATTCTGTCAAGAATAGTTTCGTCGTTCATCGATTTGTGAGACCTTAACTTCGTGAGATTAATCATTCATCTGCAATTTGGTTGCTTTCTTTCTTGTTGTTGCTTGTGTTCTTTGTTGCGTAGGCAGGGATTAACCTTCTTGGCGAGGTCAACCAGATTCGTGTCTCGGTTGATAACTAGAGAAGTTGTGATGCTAAGATTGCAGGGTTCGATCTTTTGATCTGAAGCCGGATCGATGTGTCATTCTCCGTCACAACGATAGTTACCTCTACCTGATGAAAGATCGGGATCTCCGTCTCCATTAAATGATAATCAGAGCTAAGGTATACCGTTAGGTTCACATTTATCTCCTAGTTTTGAGTGTTTCGCATTCGTCCCATAGTCCAGTGCCATATTTTTTTTGCTGCCCTATAACCTTCCGCGCCATAGCCTTTGCATATTTCGGTTTCAGAGTCTGTCGTGTTGAGTTTATGTCCTGGTCAAGGTCTTGTTGCTGGTTAGGTTGTGTTAGAGTCCAGTTCGTATGTTTTTTCCCATCGTTTCTATCAAATCCTTGCTGCCGTGATCAATTTTGCGCGCATTGTTCCCGTTTTGTCCTTTAATTCAGAGTCCGTTCTTAAAACTGGTATAGTTTTCGCATACGAACTCTGATTTCGACATTCCATATATCAAAATCGATCAGATTTTTTTTATCCATCCATCCCTGTCATGTTAGGGTGGGAAAATTTTATTTTGGTCAAAAAATGGTCACAAGATCCTCTTTTCGTGGTCACAAGGTTTTTGTCGATTTTGAGCACGTATTCTGAAAATTTCACAGGCCACATCTTTCACTTGTTTAGGCTCATATTTTTTGTGGTTACTTCTTTTGTGCTCCTAAGTGAAGGAAAAATATCAAAAAAATAAAAAGTCGAAATTTTCCAAAAAAACAACGACAACCCAAAAAAATAGAAAAAGAGGAGCAAAAGAGAAACAATATCTAGAGGAGCACATAGAGAAGGCTAAAGTGAGTTGTGTTAGCGTGTGCTGTCTAGTTCCTTGTTTTTGTTGCTCTTGCTATCCGTCATACTTGTTTTTCACACCCATGCCACCTTGCTATCCACCATACTTGTTTTTCACACATCTGTCACCTTGCTATCCACCATACTTATTTGTCACACACCTGATACTTGAAATATTTTAGACCAGCAACGAGAATAAGTACTTTGGACTATAATTCAGCATTACTTTCTGTTACTAATTTGTGTGCCAGATATATATATTATTCTTTGTGTGCCTTTCAAGCTCCGCAAACTCTTCAGATCAGTACAGAAAAAGGGCCTTGCAATCTCAGTACCGTTGCCTCACAAGTATCACGAACCAGCCGCCGGTTGTACCGCCCACTGTTTGCGTTGATAAGAACTTTGTAAAAGCTTGATAAGACGTTTCCACTTGCTGCGAAAAGTGACACCACTACAACCACGTAGTTATTTGATAGGGATAATACTTTTGTGTTGTCTTTTGCTGTCTTCTAACAATGACAGGTTATTCGTATCCACCGACTTATGATGGTATAGGTGCTGATGAGTACATGGAGTTGGAAATTACCATAGATAACATATTTGCTACTTGTTTTATGTGTTCAAGGAGGAAGGTAAACAATGCAGCTAGTGTTTTGCGACATTCTGCTTTATCTTGGTGGGAGTCTTTAGATCCTTCTGATAAACCTTAAACTTGGAATGATATAAAACTTCTTATGTGAGAAACCTTTGTTAACACACCTCCTGTTTTGACTTCATATGCTGAGGTGTACCATTTAGAGGAAGAGTCTGTTGTTATTCCTCTTGCTATGACTAATCTTCTGTAGGATAATGTCTATAAGCGAGAGAATGACATGGAAGAAAATAAGGAGCTCACAACCTCATATGCAAATTCAGAACCATCACTTCACAATGCACCTATTACTCCAGCTGAGAACGCAGGTAATGCCTATGGTGCTACACTCATGGAATGTGAGAATTGTTTTAATGTACTAAATTTTTCCATAAACCATGCTATCATAGAGCAATTGTTAGTGGAACCCTCTCTTGATTTATCTCTGTCCCATAATAATTTGCTTGAAGTTCCTTGTGATAAAGATGAATTGGTTGATGATGCTTCAGTTTTACATGTTTTGAAACCAGTCACTTGTGCTGAAAATAAACATGTTATTCATATTACTACTAAAACTGATGGGTTCAAACTATTGTCTTTTTTACATACTTTGGGTTACATAGAATTTGATGTTTTATGTAACCTAAATTGTTTGGAGGAGAACCTTTTTAAATATGCTGATTTGCCTTGGTTTTCTAAACACACATATCATGTTATTGGCAAATATAACAATAAAGGACAATATATGATACATCGAGTATACGTTCGTAGTAATATGAATCTCCTTTTATTGTACAAGATTATGATCAT